CTGCCTACCCCTTCGGGGATAAAAGGCGTGATGTTATGTTATGTTACTTTTCATACTTATAGTTGGGTGCTAATTAAACAGGTTTGTTTTTCTCTGCCTTTGACTGCCTCGTTGGCCGACTGGTCGCAAGTGCGACTGCTGGGCAAGGGGTCTCGGGTTCGTTTCCCAGGTCGGGCATAGTATTACTGGGATTTAAAAAATCTTAGTAGTACCACGGAATCTGGAATTGTGTTCGGTATATGGCAATAGGCTTACCCCCTTTTACATGGGGCTCATAAAATAAATAGTGAAAAGTGGGTGTTACTGCTGTGTGCACATTTGCCTACCCTTTCGGGGATAAAATGTTATGATATTATATTTTTAATATAATTTTTTTTTAAGGGGGGAAAATCATCGAATGACTGCTCCCGCCTGGGTGAGGCGGGAGGGAGTGTCAGACTCTTACTGACTAAAAACCACCCCGTTCCTTCTCCTGCACGTCGAGTCGGAGCCCCGGTTACCCGTTAGGTTCTTCGCGACCCGTTAGGTTAATATCATTATTCACCCCCTAAAATGTATGTTACAATTAACGAGCATCTAAATAATAATATGTTAGCCACTAGTTATCTTCTATGTAAACTACTCTAAATACAACTCAGCATAATTATTATTTTTTAGTATCTAAATATGTAGCATGTATTCTAACAGTAAACTTCTAAAATACTATTAAATGACATAGTTGTGTAATGGTCCATTAAAATCATAGAGGAATCGTATTGTATTATATTCATAAAATTTCATATTTGTCCAAAATCTGATTAATGTAATATTCATATGGTCAATATAATGACAGTAATTCGAATATTAAACTCATGAATGCGTATAAATTATAATAAATTAATGCTAATCGGAAATGTTCGCTTTTCTACAACACTCACTTCATTTAAATATAATAAATAATATGTTATTGGTGTATAAATAAATAGATTACATAATTAATTTCGTGGAATAGTTATTAATTTATTTTACAATCCTTACTATATCCTTACTTAATATTATAAATGGGAAAGTGAGTTTGTTTGTTTGTTCCACTTTCACGCCGTAACTATTAAACCGATTGCTTTGAAATTTTGCAGACGTAAAGTTAGAAATCTGGATTAAATAATAGGGTACTTTTTATCCCGGAAAAAATGTATATTATCGAGGGAAAACAAAATTATTGGTATAGATGGCGCTGTGTGTATCCTTACTATCATTACTGTATATTATCGAGGGAAAACGAAATTATTGGTATATATGGCGCTGTGTGTATTGGTATATGTCACATAGGCTACTTTTTATCCTTTTGTGACGCGAGCGAAGTCGCGGGTAAAAGCTAGTAGATAATAATTATTAGAATAAACAAAATAAATATAACAATTTACGAAAACAAAATAATTATGATTCATTGTAGTTGGTTTTGTTTATTTTTCAATCGACTCCAAAATAAACGGAGGAAGTTCACAATGCGGACTTAATGCCATATGGTAATTTCTCCCAGTCAATATACAGTAAAATAAACAAAATAAACAACTAATAGTAATAATAAATACTTGTTATTTTTAATCGTTCTCAAATTATACGTAATTTTTATTTATATATTTCAATTATTATATTGATTTACGTGTTCTAAACACACAAAAAACACTTTCGGAAATGGTTGTAATAGGTTTACAGTATTATAGTTGTTATAGCTTTGTTAAGTAGTTAATAATTAATACGCACGACCACACCCTTAAACCAGTTGTTTCAGTTATTTCACTCAAACTCTAATAATCAATATTCAACAAACACAAAATCTACCAACAAAAATCTACCAAGAGTCACAAAATAATTCCAAAAAATAAAATATACATTGAACAAAATAGTATGTTTGGTGCGGAAATTGAAACTGTCTGGACATATCCTTGTGTCAGACGGACTGTCGGTACTCTTCTTTGTAGGCTAGTACTCATGTCCTTTGCAGGGGACGGGATAGTAGTGGGATCGTAGTTCCAGAAGTAATTGACAGTTTTTTTTTAATATAAGTATTAGCTAATATATTGGGCAGTAATAGTAGGATATGAAAGCTATTAAAATAACTTTTACAACACTATGACTATGGCCGCAATGTACAATATATTTCAGGAAAAATGTAAATGAAGTTACAATAGACGTGATTGTAATGATTTGTAGTGGACAACAGTTTATGATTACAAAATAATTATTTCGTATATCAGTAACTGAATAACCAGTTAAATATCAACTCCTCACTTTTCTTCAAAATATACCTCATTTTAATCTTAAAATACAACACAAAAAATTCCAAAACTCGTGTATCAACTTTAAGGAAAAAATACATTGCAAAAAAAATCCGCTGCAGCGGTAAAGGACAAAAGTGTAAAGCGCCGTCGGCAACATAAGTTCGCATGGAGTCTTTGCAGCGGCCCTTGTCGAGTTGAGAGCTGTATTGAATAATTTTGTAACTCCATATTGTGAAGCGTTGTGGTGTTATGAGTGAAGTTCTTCAAGAAATTTAGTCTTGAAAAATGTAAATAAACGTGTGTTTTTGATAAAGTAAGAAGAAAACTAAGTGCTGTGTAATTTTAAATTAGTGTTGCAAGTTAAAGACGCCGAAAACTAAGTTGGTCTTTTGATCCAAAAAGTGGTTGACTAAAACCCAAGCGGATTATGAAGTTTAGTCCTAATTACAGTGATCTAAATACCATTGTATTTTTTCATTAGCTATTCTGTTACGTCCTGACTGTACCTGTAATGTACAGAATTCTGTCAGTATGAAAAAAATACAAAGCCTCAAAAAATTCACATTGATTTTAAAGACTACATTTAAAGCCAAATATTTTTTTCCACTTAATATTGTTAAGATATACCTACCCGTTAGCATTTCCTACGTTTACTGGTAGCGGAATATATTTACATTCATCATAGTCGAGTCTAGATATATACGACAAGTGCTAAGTACCAAGGGACAGTCGAGTTACTACATCATAAACTATGTCAGTCCCACAACACTTTATGTTTACATTTTTCTCAGCAAACGTTCTCAAAAGTGATTTAGAGTGTTTCTAGAATTCATGGTTTCATATTTTATTGAGAATTTGTAGAAGTTATATATGTATATATGAGACAGTTTATAATGAAATTTTTGCTGTGAAAGCAATGCATTGTTAAAGTTGATGTCATATCGACATAATATCGTAATTTTATTAACATGAGAAGTAATCGACAATATATCCTGTATATAAGGTTTGCTATCCTATTGTATCAAAAAACATTCAGGACTTGTCGGCTGGTAGGTAAATACGTTTCCACAAAATATTTCTCTTTACACAAAAGTCCGAATCAATTACTTAACCAACAACATCTCTGTATTCGTAATGAACTATATCTCGAGAAATATTGTTATTACACATTACAGTATTCCATAAAAACGAGGTATCCACCTAATCAATCAATCTCTTCGTCCCTCCGGTACATAAATCTTTGTGTGTCATAAACTTTTATCAGATGCTATCTTAACTTTATTGGTCTCTACAGATCGTTGTTTATATGATTCCTAAAAGTTGACTATGTATAAATATGTCAGGCGAGGTCTGGGATTTATGAAGGAGTGTTTAGGGTCCTGTTTGTATGTACTTGTAGACTGTGAATAGTCGCGGTCTATTTCATTGCCATGTTTCACCGCTTATGAACTCTAGTTACGGGTTAACAAAAGATCCCGCTGAGAAAATGTAGTGCAGGTTTAGTATCAAGATGCATTACGTTAGTACTCTAGAGACTAGAGAGCGCTCTCTCTAATATCGGTTGTATTTAGAAGCTTTATAGCAAGGCTTAGCCTCAAGTAAATACTGCGGACTTAGATAGTAAATTGCAGTTGAGCTACAACGTCTAACCAGCTCAGACGACCCTAATATCCAAGTCAAAGATTTGAAATGCTACTTAGACTACAGAGACGAAATACAACCATATCGTAACATAAAATGGCAAAATTAAATCTGTCTCCGTCAAATATTTCAACTTAGTCACAATAAAATCCGTCATATTTTACAAATGGGAGTATAAAACAACCGTCGAGCGGAATCGTAAAACGCATTACTCATCACCCAACTGCTCTCTGTTATTCACTGGAATATTTAATTGCTTCGTCTTAACGACTGGCCCCAGCAAAAGTGGATTATCCAACACTTAAATCGAGGGCAAGAGATTAAAACGACTTTGTGGTTCATCTGTGTTTTTAGATTGATATTTAGCTGACTTCAAAGAGTACTTTACAATGCTGCCTTTATACTCTTAATTGAATTTGTTGGTTTTGGTAAAATAATGAAAGAGAAGTCATCGAAGTAATTATTGGAGTATTTAACATTAAAACGAACATGAAGTCAGCTACTTATATCGCCAGTAAGAGGTAAAAGCTTAGACCCCTCACGGTACTGTTGTTCACCATATTTTTTCGTTCCTTTTTTGCGTCGGCGTGCGTACCTTTTACAAAATAAGGATGAGAAAAATCAAATCCTGACCACAAACGTCTGGCTCAATTTGGTAAGTGGTAGGAGCCGGGTATGGCGCCTTCGCCCTCCCGCCCCCCGCAATCCTACCGAGCAACACTACCGGGTAACGAGCGATATAACTACCGTACTTTCCACATTCAATCAGCACTGTTTACCGCACTTTTTTAATTCACTATTTGATGCACTTGGAAGGGAAGGTTACAGGAGGCGGGCGCGGACAGAGGGCGCCGCCTTCGCGGCAGATCTGTCGCATGGAGTCAGTGTTAAATTGTTGTAAACTACGCATATAATATCTATTTAGATTGTGTGTCCGGCGGTGCGCGAAAATAGCTTTTAACGATCGCATGATAAGTGGCATTTTCGCCCGCCGCCCAGCCCCTAAGTATTGTGTCTCCGGCGGAGTGGAACAGTTTGTTTAGATCATCATACTGACTGCGCCCTTTCTGTTTTTGTTGACATCGTCTAACCCAATAGGACGAGAAGAATCAACTACTTATAACCAATATATGGCTGTCGTTGGTAAGTGTGAATAAAAGACAAACCTAAAATTAACACTAAAATTTCTAATCATTATTTTCGTTTCTACTCTTTTTTAATTTATTTCTTTTTTTGTATATTACTCCTTCGTTCTGTCTATCTGTTTGGGTTATTCTTCTAATCTGTGACTGTTATGAAAATTGCATAGCATTGTGGAATATGCGGCAGTCTTTTTTGTATTTTACCTGTTTATGATATTTGTATGGGAGCTGCTTGACATGTCCACTTGTCCAGATCCTCGTCATCGCTGCCCCGGCTCGTGCTGTAGACTAGCCAGTAGACCCTATCATGCATCCCTTCATACAAACTGTCATAAGTTAGCTTAGTACCGTACGTAGTCGATAGAGTGGGGTACGCGAGTGCCGGCGCCCGCTCAGCCGGCTGGCGGCCGACACTTGCGTCCCAGCGCCCACTGCCGCGTATGCCGCAATGCGTTTAACAATATGTACTAATGGTTGACGTTAAGTGTGACGTGATAACTTAACATAACATAAACTATTCAAGTTTCTCAAATGAAAAATAACTTAAACGATGTGTTAAAGAGGGTCTCGATAGGTCAATTGGAAGTGACATATTGGTGAAGGTTAATGTTTCTTGATATGCACAGATATTGTTATTGAGATGAAATGTGTTTGATGTACACTGTAAATTGATTATGCACATCCTGGGTACCCGCTGTTGATTTTATTTTGTTTTTCGCTACAAGAAATTGTAGTATTTTTCATACTATGCATGGCCATGGAATGTTTATTACGGGAGATATATCCTCTTTCAAGTTAAAGTGTGGTTACCATGCTCGAATCTAGTTTGCCTGCGGAGTAAAAATCATTGGGACGACGTTTTCGATTATTTAAAAATATCTTTTCTAAAATGTATTTCTATAAATCTTTCTACCTTCTTAAAATGTTTTTGTCTTGGTACCTGTATGCGTCATAAAATGCCATTTTTTAAATTATTGTATACCTATGTGTACATAACTGACAATATATGTACACACTTTTAAATTAATTGTTATATAGACCCGTTTTGTTTTGTTTATTTTGACAATAGATTTTGTGCTTCGGTTCCCGATTTTACGAACGAATTTTTGTTTTATTATTTTATTATGTTAATAAAAAAAGAATAAATAATGACGCTTAATGTACATACTTTTGATGTTGGTCATGAACGTATTTACTGTATATTTCCATAAACGAAGCGTGCCATATATTTTATTGACGAATACTTTTTTATTACTATTAGATAGTATTTTGTTTTATTCCTCTCCCAGCAATAAAGGTATGATCGTTAAGCTATTAAAACTAATTACTTTAGCATTTACCAATACGGCAGCTTAGTTTCAGAAAAAAAATGTAGTGTTCCCCAATCCCTTGGTCTTGTTTTGACAAAAAAACGCAATGTCCTATGTATCCTTGCAAGGAAATTAGAAATGTCGAGCTTTTTAGGAATACAGTGTGCTGTATATATGGAATTGTGTATTTTTATATATGCATGGTTCTTGTTGCACGATTTATTGCTTTTCTTAGTCGTATACTTCTCTTTTTGGACACCCTGTATATGATCGTATATCTAGTTTGTAATTGTGAATGTGTTGTCATGTGCGTAAACAAAATTACATATACTATACAACAAAATGTACAATTAGCTAAAATTCATAACAAAATTGTCACTCAAAACACTACAAAGTACTTTCTTCATTTCAAATTTTATTTTTCTCTTACAAAATCTAAGTTTTATCTTAGTTCATTGTACATAACTCTGTACACTTCAAAATATACTTAAGAAACTTTGAAATAGAGTTTATATTTCAAAGTTGTTGAATTTAACGATCAATTTACTAAGTTACCATGCTCTTTTACCAATTCCAAAGTTAGTGTTCTCTCTTGAAAGTTTTTGAGTAAATAAATTCATTGAAATGGCTTTAAATACTTGTCATAAATAGCGGAGTGGTTGTATGGGAGTCAGTGACATCGAAGGTATTAGAAAAAAGTATTTAGAGGTATATGTTTATATTGTATACTTACACAACATTGTACACTGAAGTTATATAATAATGTGTGTGTAAGAACATACTCACACTCACATATTGTACAACAGGCAAACGTAGTGTAGGGCGCCCTCCAACTAGGTGGAGTGACGATATACGTAAAGTGGCTGGTAGTGGTTGGATGCGTAGAGCTGAAGACCGAGCTCAGTGGCGTGCCATTGGAGAGGCTTATGTCCAGCAGTGGACGAAAACAGACTGTTGATGATGAAGAACATACTCCGAAATTACTTGCCTTTAAACAAGAATATCAACATATATCAAAGTCAAAATCCTTTATTTCAATTAGATCAGAAAGGCACTTTTGAACGTCAACAAAAAAAATTAAAAGTGAAGCTATTTGCTCATTCCAAGGTGTAGATTCCTATGGAAGAGAACGAGCAAGAAACTCCATAGGTTACTCTTTTTCAATCAATTTCACAATACAATTCTCTAGTTACATCGATATATACGATATAGAAAACTGATACGTTAGATTGAACTCATTTCTTGACAACAATGCAAATAACGAGTATATAAGATAGGCAAGATGTTACATTCTTTAAAAAGTTACCTATATTAAAAAGTGATTAAGGTACATTTTTCTGTAAAAAATATCGATTTGTGATAACATATTCCAAGTCATATGTCCCTATCACTAAGTACGAATATAATCCTAGCATACGTAACCTTTAAGCACGTAAGTTACTCCCAAGTTACGACAAACCATGTACCACATATAACATGTATCGCATATGTTTCGAAACAATAGAGACGTTAAACTATGTAATTGATTCACTAACCCTTCAGGAGAGAACACATAATGATATATCTGTCTCGCTTCCACACCGGCCTGTAAATGACCTAAATTGGAGCTTTTAAACTCCTCAAAGTAGTCAGGGGATGTTTCCATTGAAGAATGATTATAGAGATATTTGTCTTTTACAATGAGTTGAAGTATTTATCATGCATAGATAATGACACTGATTTATATCTTCAGTCTAGTGGTGTTAAGTTTCGAACGGCATAAAGGTATATTCTTATTTTTAACTTAACCTATCGTGTTAAAAGTCAAAGTCAATTTATTTCAATGAAACCATAATTTGATACTTTTGAAACGTCAACAACTACAAAATAAATAATAGTCCGTCAGTGAAGCTAGGTGAAGCTAGGTTAAACTGAATCTTATTATGATTAGGTAAGTTAAAAGATAGTTTTCGATTATCGAACCATCCTTTGTATTATATCAATTCCAATCTTACTGGAAGATAAATACCTAATTTTAAATTTCACTTTAGTAATGTAATGATCAGAATCAACAATATAATTACACATTCTGACTAAAATCCACTAATGTAAATTTCATTCTTCAAAAGATCGAACACCAAAATATTGATAATGACTTAAAACCCAGCTGTTATGCCCATGTCTCAAGAAAAACAATATTAGTTTTGGAGTTATACCCCTATTTGTAAGTACTTGGCCTCGGGCGTGGAATCTAATATCATACTATACAAACATGTTAGTATCGCTAGGTAGATATATATTGTAAAGTTGTGGGTCCAACTTTTGTAATATTAGTGGAGTGGGTGAAGTTTGAAGGGCTCGCTTTTGTTTCACTCAGCGAGCAGTTGTTATTGTTGGTTGGGTTATAATATGAGCGGTGTGGAAGTGATCACCAGTGACAATATTCGTACCCATGTTTCCAATACAAGGGCAGTCTTTTCCCTCCACACATTGAATCTTACAATAATCCGGAAGATTTTTTATCTGTGCCGAAAAATCGCCATGTTTGTGTTCCAATTTCGAATGTTGTCACTGGCAACTTATTCTACAAGATTTTTAAATTCTGTTCTTTTTGTCGCGAGTGTCGTTGTCGGCCGATCTTTTTTTAAATTGTATAAGCTGTAATATTTAATGGTTTAATAACGCTCTTTAAACGGTTTTTAAAGAATTAATGTAGATGAAAAAGTTGAGGAAATTAAAGGTTTTAGTACCGTTATTATTAAATTCGTAAGTAATCCAGGGATTGTAAGGAAATTGAATTTCTTTTAAACTGTAAAGCGATGATAGTTTTCTTGATACCTAGCTTAAAGTCGAAATAAAAATATAAGCTGATGAAAAATAATTCTAAAACGGTTCTACTTTAGAGAAGAAACAATTAATATTGTTAATATTCCGTCTCTATGGCGGTACGCTCTAGGTAGGCGGTGTAGCATCGCAATACAAAATTATGTCAAAGGAAATCTTTACTCTGGTAATCGGCCGTAACAACGACTCCCGCCATTGTTCGGTACACTGGCGAGCAGAATTACTGGAATATTTTTGATATGTGTTTTTATATGACATTCTAAATTCCATTCTTTGACTCCACGCCCCGTTATAAAGTTGAATGTTTTTTACATTTCAAATTGTTGTAGTTTTCCGCAATGTTACTCAGAACGAGGATTATCAAAAAGTTTTCGTATGAGTACTACATATTACAAGTTAAATATTCAACATTTTACAAGCTCCACTTAGAGATGACATTAATATTATAAAGCAGAATATTTAATATCACTATCAACAGAATCTTTACATTATTATACATTTATGATTCTGCTAAAATTTCTATCATAATACTGCTATCAGTACTTAAGGCTGTTATTTCAACACAATTTATCATTCACAAGTCATAGCACCGCACCTCGTAACTGCTCTGTTGACATTGAAAAGTTGTTCTTGGACCTCTTAAGATGTCTAGCACCTTTTTATTACAGTTTTAACGTTTGCCTAATTAAAAACTACTGTCTTTCTTCTATTTTTTATTACATTACCTCTTTTTATTCAATTGTTTTATTACGAAACTTAATTTTGTCACATTTCTATTTTTAAATTGAAATTATTATTATTTTTTATTACATATTTTTGCATTTATTTTGAATCAGAAATGCTCCAATATTTTTGCTCGCACGTGTATCTGTGTTGACGGCGATGTCTCTGATTGTGCTGATGATGTGACAGGAGTGGAATGACTACAACCTGAGGTGGAACGACAGCGACTATGGCGGGGTCAAGGACCTCAGGATCACACCCAACAAGCTGTGGAAGCCGGACGTGCTTATGTACAATAGGTGAGAGTACTGGCAACGGGTATGAATTTTATATTCTTTATTTGAAAACAAAAAAAATATATTTTCTTTTTTTTTCTAAAAGGTAAGACAGATAAATCATAAACAAGAGAGTCTTAATCAAATAAAAAGTTCGCTTTTGTACATAAACTTAATTTGGTTTGTAATGTAAATAATCTGTGAGAAAGTTTTAAATAATGACATCGAGATAATCGAAAAATTTTTGCTTAAGCTTTTCGTGTGTTTTAATGAGACACCAATTTTATTCTATTGTTTCATTTTTGGCAACAAAGGAGCTTAAATTGTAACGCACAGGGACTGTAAATAAAGACTTGGGGTTTATTATCTCGGAACGATTTAAACAATGGGACAACATTTACTTTTCACATTTCTAAGTATAAATATTAAAATTAAAACTTTAATTAAGTTAAAGTAGATTATAATTTAAAAATCGCTTCTCCATTTTAAAACATATTTTTATTTTTGACGAACAACAAAATGTACCCGAAGTTTCCTGCAATTTTTCAGCTCTTAATTACTTTATAGGTTGGTGAAAATTATTTTAAAGTGACTGTAAGTAATTACAGGGCTTAAACCTCACTAGAGGGTCCTAACTTACTGAAATATGCGGACAAAATAATTATAAATTTCTTTAATGTTGGTCCCAACGGAAGAAATATTTTACCAGACTACTTTACATTTCAAAACCAGAAGATTTTAATTACAGCCGAACACGGGAACATTTCGACTTTAGCATTTCTAAATTGTAGAAATGGTTCCCTCAGAATTTTGGGAGTTTGCTACAAATGTCAAAATAACTGCCTCGTTCCCTGCAACATGCAACCTGCAGTGTCAGAACACAGTAATATAATCATACAATTTATTCTTAAATTCAAATGCAGTCGCGTCGTTCAAACGTCGTTAACGTTAAACAAATTTTCTCGGCAAACAGACGTCCGCGCAAAGTGGCGCCATCTGGCGGGGCGCCAAACATGTTATTCATTACACCGTTAAAGAGCAAATGATATAAACCTAGTGTCACATGATTTAATGTTAAGTGTGTTTCATGTTTATCGGCACTTACCTGGCCGGAAGCCAGACGTTTACACGACACGTACATCTTGGGCCGATAACTTTTACGAACATCCATGGATAAGTAGTTATGGCTCAACAGCACCACTTTAACGACGCCATAGAATACAAGATATTATGAAGCAGATAGTAGATTTACTACTTTGCTATTTTTTTCTGTCGCTATCTCCTTTATTTATGGTGCTAATGCTCCTTGGAATGAGTATGCCAGAAAGGTACATGACCTCTCCTAGTTTGCAGAGCGCCCCTTTTTGTTTGTAACTTCTACAATTCGTTTTTCTTTTTGATATCCTTCCATGATTAAATGGGGCCTAGAGCAGGGAAGCGCCTATAAATATAAATTAATGATACAAGAAAAATCTGCGACGTAAACCAAAATCACATTAACGGTAATACATTAGGGTAACGATATAATTTATCTGTTGCTTTTACACGAACATTAACTCTGGGAAAGACCCAAGATTTTAAACGAGATTTGAGCAAGCATCCGAATTAAAATAAAGGTCGGCGAAATTGCAGAGTTGCAGAGTCGGCTTGTGTAATGGCGGCGTAACCGCTCCATCGGTGTTTGCAACTGGCCGGGTTTTAACATTTCCAGACTTTTAACTTTCAACTGTTTAACAGAATTAAATGTGCGAAATTGAGTTGGAAACTAAACTTGGAAGTCAGCCAGTCAACAATCCTTTTTGCGAATAAAACGTTATCTCTGATTTGTTGGTGCGATTACGGGGAAACGTGTTGCAATCTGTTAATAGGATGTTTTAAATGTACGGGATTTATGTATGTTTTTATGGTGTACTTTGGCTTATTTATGGGAAGTTGAATTAAGTACAGTATAAAAAGCGAAAAGTAGAAGGGAATAAATCGTGAACAAATGTTACTAAGAAACGGAATTTACGTTAAAAGAATTAGATAATTGTGTTCTAATTACGCAACTTGTTGACGAGCACAAAGAATTTTTATTTTCTCCAATTGCCTTGGAATTTCTTTAGCAATTTTTTCATACGAGTGTAGCAAATATACGAAAAAAGATTTGCTTATTCTCTGCGCTCATTTTCCCCGCGATGCCGATGTATGGGGGCGAATGATACGAGCTCGTATGATATCTGTGCCGTGGGTTATTCGCATTTTCATTTGGGAGCAACATAATTAATATATAGCCTTGGGAAAATCGAGTAAATGTACACATCAGGAAAAAACTGCCGCAAAGAAGAAGGGTGTTTCTGTATATCTGTGTATTAATAGCTTTGTATGTGTCTGTACAGAAAACTTTGCACGCTTTATGAAACAATCTATGTGCAAGGAAAAGGAATGCGAAAAGATAGTATAAAAACAAATGAATCACGCTAAAAGATGAATATTGGATGGAATGAAATGAATGTAAAATAATTCTGAATATCCAGTAAAGTAATAGCTCAGTGCAGGTTCCATTCCTGATACTCCTAACTTATTTGTACCTTCGGATGTCAACTCAAAGAAGTTTTAGCTCAATAACGAAACAAGTATCACCAAATACTAGGCAGAAATAAAAATGGTCGCCCATATCTGTTTGCTATCACAAAACATCTCGAAAAAATATAATACCATTTCCTAAAGCGTGTATATTAATACAATATTAAACTGGTATAAAAGTATTTGTGAACAAGTGTTTTCTTAGCGGACACTTTTATGTCCTATTTACATAATGTAAGCTCCACTAAGATGCAGAAGGACATTTGGCTCAGTGTCGTATAGATTTTGCTGACCAACAAACTGTTTTATCGCATATGTACGATATAATAAGGTTGCTATTACCTTATTAATTTCAGATAGTCTACTACATTTCTTCATTCCGTATACATTTTCACTTTTGATCCAAAATCCAATTTAATAAGTTCATCTCAAAAGTATGAACAAAATGAAATCCTTTCATTAAGGATATTGGTTGTATGTGCCAAACATTGGTTGTTGGCGTTGGTCCAGTACAGCATTCGATTATGAAAGCTTTTAAATCACTCACGGGGCAACGTGATGGTAACACCTTGTTTACCGTCTTCGTTGCTGGACGCTGCAAGGCATGGGAGTGTGTCACACCGTCTTGCAATTTCTTGAAAGTTTTATAAAATAAAATATTGTGATGAAACTAAAAAGGCTTACATAAATAAATTCACTGAACAAAAACTGTAAAGAGAAGACTAGTAGTATAAACTAAAATAGATAAAATCTCTTTGCTGCTAGCACATAAAAAAGTAAATTAAACTGATAAAAAGATACGGCACATTCATAAAATCTCGGCAATTACTGTAATAAAAGTCTTAAGAGCAATTTCCTAAAGGAGAATACATTTCTTTACTAGAAAAACCTCCCCACAAACCACAATGGACATCTAAATGTAACAACAACATCGGTAAATCTAAAAGGTGTTGAAAATACCTCTTCCATTCCTTAAGGGAACGACCCGACACCCAATAAAAACATGACAAAAGAAAACTGACCATTCGGAGCGATCGCATATTTTATTCAAGTCACTGAATTACACTGCTGTGTGACATGAGGTCCCCGTTAATACGGATTTGCTGGCGGGCCGCCAACTAACGGAGTGGTTACACACGACACGTCCACCGACCATGAATACTACATGCAACCATGACAGACACTTTTGTCATAGTCAACGCCCACGGACGTTTTTCGGACTTTTTCACTATCTGAGAATTTTGTTACGTGTCCGCTTTTGTTTTGTGAGAGCATACCGAGTGCAATGCTTCTTTTTGGAGCGGACTATGATTGACGGGGTGGAAAAATCGAACTAGGTTTTGCTTTTCACAGACAACATAGGACTATGTTGTCTGTTTTATAGCATGTTTCCAAAGGTTGTAGTGCGAAAATGAGGTCGGTAAAATGTTAATGGTTAATCTATTACCAACTTCTACGTTTGGGATTAACTAAGTTTACAAAGAAGTTACTTTGTAACAAAAGCCTAAAAAAGACCATTCCAGAGCACTTTAGAAACTGTTAATTCGTTTAGCTATTACTAAGTACTCAGTGACGAAGTCATTGGTGCGAAAATCCAAACATTAAACTCACTTTCAACCTTTTAACACTACGGTAGACATTAAATTACTTTATAACTTAGAACGTCCTAACTTAATTGCGAAAATAAATCCCAAAAGCGAATTAAAATTAACTCTCTTTAATAACGCCAACATCAAAAGTTAGTTTAAACTAGTTAGGGCCAGTACAAACCGGTGTAAACCAGTATCTTCATTTCATCGACTGTGGTCCCCGGACGCTCGCGGACAAATTAGAGTTAAACTGTAGCTCAGACTAGATCTTGGATTTACGCTTTGTGGTTTAATTCGTACTAGTTGTGTTAATTGTGGTTTTAGGAGGCTATACTTTTGTTGTAATATCGTTGTTACTGCTGGAATAATTTATGTTCCTTCAAGGATTTGCAACAAATGAGAATGGAACTGCTAACATCATTATCCGTAATTTGTTCCTCTTCAAGCTTAAGGAAAGTTCAAATAAAGGGGTGATTTGGTGATTTCTATCATCTCTCAAAAGGAAAATTGTAAATGGTAGCAAAAATTAATATTCAAAATAGATTTTGTTAAACATTATTAAAACTGAAGACTGGGAGAACAGATCTACTTGTAATCAGGGAGCAGAAACCTCAAGAAGACTGTTATATACCGACCCAGTTCCGAAAAGAACGATTAAATCCACGAAAGCCAACATTTACTTTGACGCCAGATAATAAATCCGATTAGAATGGTGTTCATTAAGGGGGAGTTGAATGAAAAATACTAATGATCAGATTGTGGGCACGTTGATAAATGAACGTGGGTGATAAGGCTCCGTGTTCTTTATTTAGCCCATAAAGGCCTTTGTGGAGACGTGTGTAAGCCCCAGGGAGGTTTGTACAAAACTTGTACAGCGAATAGAAGCAAAATAAATATTTGAACTGCTAATGCGTAAGTTGGAGTTTTGCATCAACCAGCATTTTGTTTCATTCCGCCTATTTTCTATTGCTTAGCTCTAAGATGACCTTTGTATTTTTATTGTGTACCTTTATATCCTATTTTTAAATAATATATTTAACTACATAATTTTCAGAATTGTGACAGCACAGTAGGAGCTGGTCCCGAATGTGACGATCGGTACTTGACCCCTTTATATATATATATATATATTATTTTGTTTAAAAAGTAACGATCGTTCGCGTGGTTGAATGCTGCTACTCGGTGCTGCCACAAATAAAAATAAAATAAACGTACATGGCACGCTAGTCGCTGATTTGAGACACCACTGTCATTGTCTCGCTTGTCAGACTTTTTTTTTTGATGGCAACTATTTCTTTACTTTCTTTTTTCTTTTCTCAATATTTTTTTTGTGCAGATAAGAAAGCTTTTTATGAAATCTGATGAGCGAGAGGATGGTTTTAGTGCAGTCAATGATAAAAATCTACTTAAACTTTAACTTTGTCAATGACTACACCATGTTTTATAAATAGCGTCCCAGATGAATCCGAGGCACTGACAAATAAATTACTAATTAAATAATTAATGCTTCATACTAAAAGCTCATTACGCTTTAGACATAGCTTTAATAAAACGTATAAAATATTCTGTGTGTAATTAAAAACTTTTCATTTTTAAATAAATAATAAATTTATGTACATTATTAAAAAAAAGAAAAAAAGGTGTTTTCGAATTAATACTTTTATGCGACTTCACCGAAGCTTTTCATTTTATTCTTCTTTGTAAAGTAATTTTAGAAAGCAAAAAGAAATGAGACGTTCGGTTTTTAAATTGGTGTACATTTTGTAAATAAAATAAAACATTTTTTTACGTCTAATGTGTTCAAAGGATTTTTTCATTAAATTGAAGTTACGAAGCTGATCAAAGAATGCTTTAGTACCCGAAATTCGTTTTCAATTGCAAGGGTTTGATAAGGGTCATTTCCTTCGTTTAATTTATATCTGTGAAATTTTCTGGATAACTTATTAATAACAGTGGTCCTTTCATTCATTACTCGTGAATGAGAATTGAACTTTGAGAATATATTACGATCAAACCTCCAAAATTGCTTTTACGATGATGAAAGTCACCGTACTTTTTGAAAATCTTGATGGTGACCATGTTGTTTCCGAGAAAGTATATAATAATAACTTGATGACACAATTTGTATTGCTACGTAGTGCTGACGAGGGTTTTGACGGGACATACCAGACCAACGTGGTGGTCAGAAACAACGGCAGTTGCCTGTACGTGCCACCTGGCATATTCAAGAGCACATGCAAGATAGACATCACGTGGTTTCCCTTCGACGACCAACACTGTGATATGAAGTTCGGTAGCTGGACATATGACGGGAATCAGGTAGCTAAATCTTAGAACGTTTCGAAATCTGTACCATTTAACTCACGTACTTTGAACTATTATAGTCTCTGTGGCTCTTGAATCACTTTAAGAAATGTATATTAATTCTTTTCACTCGCGACTTTGAACTTTTGAAGCACAGATAACACTTTCTTCTTGTTAAGTTAGTTTGTCTTTGATTCTGCTTAAATATTTACTGTAGGTAATTTTCAATGAGATTTGTACCTACACGTTACGGATTCACCTGTCTGCTTTATACTTTAAATGGTTTTAACTTGTCAGCACGTCCACCGTTAAATGATATTTAGTTATTATGTTTGAGTTACTTTCAAATATTAAGATTTCTTTTATGAATCACGAATTAGTTCGTAAATTATATCATGTTCTCAGATTGTAAGTATTTTATTTAATAGAACAAGTAAGATTACATGTCAGTTTTCATATTAAAAATGTGAAACGTTGACGTAAATATTGTTGTTTTAAATTAAATCAAATTTCTTTTTCAAATTTTGTTTGAACGATATTAAATAAATTTCTTGTAAAATAAATAAATTTCATGTAACTTTTTTCGACACTATGTATATACTAAATACTTTTTTGTAATTTCTTAATACTTATTGCATTTTAAATCTTTTTAATTCAAGGCGGGTGTTTCCGTAACGAAGTTAAAACAATATTAAATGATTGAATTTATAAATAGTCTAAACGTTGTAAAGTTAAACAAACATCTTTTCATTAACAAAAACAGATAATTCGAGCCTCATTACAATTAATTACTGTAAATTTAATGGGATTTAATTACATTATAACATTACAAATAAGAGCCGCGGCTGGAATAATTTAATTAAAATATCGCGCAAATTAATCTTTTTAGCATAAAATACAGGTTAGAATTCAGATTAAAATTAAGGTAGATAAATTAGGTTTAAGGTTAGGTTAGGGGAGAAATCTAAGGGAACCATGTGAGAAACCTAGGATATGAAATATCCAGTTTTGTATGTACTATTTTGCATGATGCAAAAAATTAGAAATGTACATTTATAAGAAAAACAGTCACTGATTAATGAAAAAATTGCGAGCCGCCATACGGAAAATTCTGTAGAAAATGATCGTGTATTATATATGTATTATATATAAATACCTCTTTATTGAACATTTTGATTAGAACCCGTGTGTATTGTAATGTATGTTTTGTAAAAAAACATGAAAGACATTTTGTATAATACAAAGTAATCACTGGTTTTGATCAAAATATATTAACGTTAAATTTCTGTGTTTGTGTGTGTATTGTGAGTAGGTTTAATATGTTTATACAAATACACATTAATTATGAATGTATACAACTTTTATTAATGTGTAAACATGTTTATTAAAAGTTTTATAAATTTTAATAATATTCGTATTTTGTCTGCTAAATTATTCGATACGTTAATTTTATTCTTCACAATTTCGCATGTTCGATATGACTTGATTAAATTAAGTCAGCATAAATTGATTAAATATGTATATTGGTTATTTATTAATCATCTGCGTTCGACGTGTTGTTTTTATTTCATTTCATTTCGTTTAATTAAAATTAATGTAAATAAATAAAACTTCAATTGCGTCCCAGTTTCTGGAATTAGATTGTATATTTGTAATTGTGAGTAAAATATTCATCTTGGTTCGATGAAATTACATCTTAGCTTTCAATTCTCAACGTATTATATTAAGAAGATAAACTATGATATTATTGTATCAAAGATAAGATATATAAGAAACTCTACCAGCAACCGCATTCACTTACATATTTGGCATACTAAAATTAGTAGACCGGGTGGTCTCTTTTACAATAATTTAACAATGGGTTTTAAATATATGTATAAAATGTTTACATTATTAATTCATTGAATTGTTCCATTAAATATGAGTCCTTGTTTAATTTCCATTGATTGAATTAATTGCGGGAAACATTATTGTAATAATGGAGTAAATAACAATAAAAGTTGGTATTTGATTGCAGATATGTTGAAAATTTTCTGGAATGTACCGATTTTTTGCTTTATTCCGTATGTCCATGCCAAAATCTATCGGATGTTTTAAAGAATAAGGTTCTGATTTAAGTAAGTGAATATTCTGTTACAGTTAATTTATTTTTATACATCCCAAAAAAGTTAATTTAAGTCCCTATTTGAGTTTGTAGCGACATTTATCTCACAAAATTTTGAATTCAAACAATTTGAAATGTCTCGAATAATTTAGCATACATTCAGGATTTTAAAACATTTTTATGCTCTAGCGTGAATTAATGTTTTAAACTTTTCTTACTTAGATTGTTCTTTTAAATGTAGATTTTTTTTTATAAAATGCACGTTTTACGTTTATTTCTTTAGAAGTTAAAAGTTTTATTAGATTTGAAATTATTTGTAGCCATTTTGTAGCTCTTATCGGAGTTTATGACAGTCTTGGAGTGTATTGATTTTCACTCAAGAGTACACTCACGTTTGTCTCGTCTGTGATTTCTCCAAACACATTTTACATTGCACAAATATATTTTTGTAGAAAATAGTAAAATGTTCGTTTTCAGAATGTTTCATTTCTGCTACACGATTGATTCCTCTCGGACTGCAATTCGGTTGATGGCTTCGTACAAATGTTGAAGCCAGTAGGTACGACTAGGTTGGAAACCGATTGACCGGACGGCTGCCATTTTGTTTACAAACGACCGTTGTTGCACCGAAATCACTAACCTTTGTCAATTGTCAGCTTGGTATTGGGCATAACATTTTCATTAACCTGCAGTATATTAAAAACCTATTGATTCATAACTTTGAATTTTAGAATGTTATTGAAAAATAAAAGCTCCATGATTGCCTTTTAAATTGCTTTAAAAAGTATTCACTTTAAAGTGTAAAAACCTTGAGTGAAATATAACAGAAAAGCTGTCATAAATATCCCACACGTTGAGTGATAACTTCTTGAATAATTCCGTAGTGTCCCGGAGTTGTGGCGCGTCTCAAACTCATTACTCCGGTTCCCGCCACGTGTTCGTTATAGACTTAATCTAACTTTGCCTTTGTCCTGTCCTCGTATTATTTTAACTTTCATTATAATGAGTAGTTTTAGAATTTGTAGTGTGACGTGGTCTGAGGAAACTGGATTAACTTGGTTCGTTACAAACTACGTGTCTTTAAATGTCACTTCTGCTCTTCGGAGTGAAACAGCATTCAAGGTTTGACTATTTTGAATACTGTTTTACTTCGTACTTTTCCTTTACTCTTGCATCTTCTTCTGTGTTTAATGTATTTCCACCCTGAACTTTATTTTAACCTTTATTATTTTTAGTTTATTATGTTCTTAGTTTTTAAAGTAGTTTTGTTTTTACAAAATTCCGTATGGCGGTGATATTTTTAACTGTTTAAAGCATGCTCTTGCATCCCCTTCCTTGTCTTGCATTTAGAGGTTCTCACATTTCCCTTTCGATCCAAGGTATACATATTTAACGAAGAACTTCGATAACCTAAAGTTGGCAGGATCAAAAGATTGCAAATTGTAAGTAACTCGGCAAATTTTAAGCCGAAACCGAATAATGGCTCCGAGACATTTACAACTTATGAAATCTGACGGAATTTTATATCCAATAAAGTATGCAAGAGGGAAAAAGGGACGAGAAAAAAATGACAAAACGTTTCATTACGAAATTGCTTCCTCAACAGCAATCTTATCCCTTAAGAAGCCGGCATTGTATGGCGAATAATGGGAGATTTCCGTCCGTCGATTTGATCCTGCTTTCTTAGTACGTTTGGCATGTGTACTTGTATGGGTGATGGGTATTAGTGCATCTTGTTTGAATGTGTCAAACTACACCGTGTTTCGCCCTGACAGTTGGATCTGGTGCTAAAAGATGAGGCAGGCGGTGATCTATCGGACTTCATAACAAATGGGGAGTGGTATTTAATAGGTAAGTACAATTACAAGTCTTTTGTCCTTTATTTTAACGTCTATATTTGCTTCTATTATGAGTTTCCTTTATTGTTAAGTTCAGTTTCATGTTTTCATGACTGATGTTTTTGTTACTTTCTTTTTTGTTTATTCAATTTCTTTTTCTTTTACTCGTTTTTTTAACTCAATTCAATCTTGCTATAAGACTTATTTGACGCTACATCAAACGTTACTCAACAGGAATGCCAGGCAAAAAGAACACAATAACTTACGCGTGCTGCCCAGAGCCTTACGTAGATGTCACGTTCACCATTATGATCAGGAGACGGACGCTGTACTACTTCTTCAACCTCATCGTCCCCTGCGTGCTGATCTCATCCATGGCTCTCCTCGGTTTCACTTTACCGCCAGACTCTGGAGAAAAACTTACTCTTGGTCAGTATCGTCCTTTGATTTTTTGTTTTCATTAGTGCGTACTTCGGTTTCTTTGTCTCTATCATTCAATTGTTTTTTTAACGTGCAATTCTGAGATTCTAATTCAATTATTGCCGAAGTACGTTCTATGTTGTCATGTTGTAATTATGTGGTGTTCATTTTTGATATAATTTAAACATTTGGTACGCTTCTTTGCTCAGATTGTTGGTATTCTGGAACACAAGAGTACCAATTATCAACAATGTAATCTATTACTATGGATAAAGAGTTGGGTTTTGTATAACACTATCTCAAGCTGGCCATATTAAGGAATAAGCTATATCACAAAAATGTTCTTCCACTAAATTGGTTTTGTTGACAAGTGAATAACGTGGGACATATATCTACAAATACATAGATATAACAAGTAAAAGAGATGCGGAAGAACGGAGCGAAATCGTCGTTCCATTTTCTTATCTGGAAAAGGCCACATTGTGCATATTCGTATCGCACTTCGTATATAGCACAAGTGCTGATGTACGCTCGAGTTTGCAGTGTATTTTATACTAGCTCTATGCTGTGGTGTTACCCGTCTTCTATTCCACGTGGACTGGTGTTAAGAGTCTAAAAACCTTTCGCAGGTATTGGACTTGACATCAAAATTTTCTTAATCCTGTAGGTCAAATTGTAATGTCATTTTTGTATTTGAAATTATTGTATTGATCTCTTCCTAAATACATATATAGGATTGTATTGTATTAATAAGAACCTTAAAACATTAGCAGTTTTTGTTTAATACAAAATCTTGATAGCAATTAAGTTCTTTGTAAATATTTAGAGAATGCAGTATAACGTTATTTTTCCAGTCTATCATTTGTTCTAGCAGTTATATCACATGAATATACTTGGAATAACACTAATGATGTTGAATTAATGTGCTGGTCATTCAACGATAATGACCGCACAGAAAAACATTAGATGTTTTCATTACATGCGATCAGGCATTTAGTGTTGAGGTAATCGAGTGCTTCCAGTATTTGTTATAGCGTAAATCTTATATTATTGGAGCATTTTATTCGTTAACTGTGATATATTGTGAAAGATACTTGCATTTACAAATTTCAAACTAACACATTTTGATCAATTATTGATCTAAAACTTTCACCTTTATTATATAAGAGACATATATTCATATTCAATATACATATGTATTTATATACCTCTGCCTATTTTTTCGAAAAAAAGGCGTTCTTTTAGTTAAATCATGTTTTAAAAGCAATGTATGTAGAGAATGGTTCATAGGGTCTTAATAGTCCATAAGGTTTTCACTCAAGAACATTTCACTGATCCACATTGGCCGGTCGACAGGTGTGACAATCTTGTTGTCATTGACCGTCTTTCTGAACCTGGTCGCAGAAAAGATGCCGTCCACGTCGGACGCAGTCCCTCTAATAGGTACCATCACGTAGGACTAGCGACCAACTACAGTGCACGCTGCTAACGTTCTCTTGATAGCAGGGTATATCTTGATAGATAATTAAAAGAGTTCCTCAAGGATGTGTTTTAGGACCAAATGCATGAATAAGTAAGAGCTGCCTGTTTTTATGGGATGTCATTTAATTACAAAAATAAAATGATATCCAAAGAAGTTTCCACAAAAAGTAATTTAAAACTGTTGTGTAAGAACATTAAATATAAAATCAGAACTGTGCTACAGAGATATTGTTAGAAGAAACAGAAGCTCCAAGAAAACCAATTTGAAATATTAAAAATCCAATAAGAATTACAAACGCAATTTTAATATTCATCTCAAACCAACGATAGAAGCAACAAGAACCATTTAATATTACACTGTGGAGGCGAGAATTAATCAGAAATAATAAACGTATACCGTAAAAGCCAAGAATTCACGGCACAGCTTGTTGAACGTACCAAAGGGGTAATAAAAGTTTTAAGAGCAGTTCGGAAGCAGCGTGCACTGACATGAATATTAGATTGTCTAGAATGTGCTATGACTTATTGTGTTGGTGTTAGTTACCCGCTAAACCCCAGACACACATGTGAGACGGTAAGTATTTACTGGCGTAGATATCATGTCGACATTGTCATCATTCATAACATTAGCGCTCAGGGAACGACACATTACGATATTAAAATTGCGATCGATACGAAAATTGGAGAGCTGATAAACGATATCGACGTCAGTAGGGGTGTTAACCATGTGTTTGATTGCAGGAGTCACTATTCTTCTCTCGCTGACGGTGTTCCTCAACCTGGTAGCTGAGACCCTGCCACAGGTCTCCGACGCTATCCCCCTGTTAGGTACACTACCCAAACCTAACCCACACCGTTTGTCCATCCCGCTTGTATCCCACATTTATTTTTATCTTCATATTCATGGCCTCCTGGTACTTTTATTTCATCTTTCATTCTCTATTTTTTATTTTACTTCAGCTCTCATTTGTTTTTGTTATTAAAATGAACAATTAATAATTATTTTAAAACATTACAAGGAGTAAATTATGTACGTTTAAATTAATTCAGATTGTTGTGAGCTTAAAGTTGCTATTGAGTGGTTTCAAGCTTTCATGTTACTGTCTCTCAATAAATAACGTCAATTATTTACCAGACGTTGTTAAAATGCTTTTGCTTAAAAATAAATTAAATCGAGAATTCATTCTATTGGAAAGTAAATTACGAAAGTCGAACATTGAGTTGTTGTGAAAGTATTGTTCTTTTACGTATTTTCTTACAATGATTTCGGTTATAAATCTTGGAATCGATTCCGTGATTCTTTGCTTTAGCTTTGTCACTAATTGATTATTCATTATTTTGTTTCTTTGATCGATACACTTCTGTAACGATACTAACTCTCTGATTTAAGTGGCATGGCATGTGACTATAACTTTGTCAAGAGTTTAAAGTAATTATGGACACCGAAGGTAAGTTCCGATATTTTTATTCTAAATGTTTACACAACTGTATTTTTATTATCTTCAAATATATATGTGAGTTTGCTGTTTACGTAATCGATTCCATGGTGTACGGTTTTTGTATATGGGTGTTTATTTTGGATGTTAATGTTTTTTGGAAATATTTATTTTATATCCATAGGCTCAAAGCCGTGGTTTCTGGATACTTGGAGGGTGGTGTAACTTTAGCGACAACTTCTATTAAACCCTTCTCTTAATAAAAGATAATATAATAAAACAATAATAAAACGCCAATGATAAAACCCTCTATAATAGTGTTTGCATGACTATCCTTATGTTTCGTTTATGATTTCACTTGAGCCCCTGATACTGACTCAGCACACAAACAGGACGAGATCCAACCAACGATGATAGACTGGATGGTACTATAGGTGTAACATTGTAAATAGAATATTTTGTTTTGATTTTGTTTCATAGTTTATATTGATCTTTGCAGGTGTTACAATCCTCCTGTCACAAACTGTTTTCTCTCTATTGGTGGGGCACGTCATCACAAAAACCTCTGAGGCGATCCCCCTAATAGGTGAGAAAAGTACCACGCGTTTGTTTCCTTTTTTTTCTTAAATAACTGAACTAAACATGATGATGATTAGTTTTTTTTTATTAAAACAGAATGCAGTGTGAGGAACATCTTGGGGGACAAACCTAAAATGTCCCTCTGCTCATTCATGAAACACCAACTTAACAAAGATCTAACTAGATATTTTTGCTTGAAGTTTTGAAGGAGAGCGTTTCTTATATTTTTCTGTTTTCAACTCGCATTTTAGAGTCTCGCCGTCTCTGGAGACTGATCTATGCTTTTACAGCGCTCTTGCGGCTCTCTCGACACTTGAAATAGAGTTATTGCACTTTAAATTCGTGCTGTTGAAATATGTAGCTAAACAGACTCTATCTAAAGGTAATTTCCTGAATATACCGACACTCGATCTTCTTGTAATGTATTAAAATAATGTACTAACATTACTTCTTGGTCCGTTCATTCAATTTTCATTTCCAAATCTATTTTACTTTCTTCGTTTTATTTTCTATTGGCCTTTCTGTAGACAGCCGACAGACACGCGACTACAGACGTCAGCTTCGAGCATGATTTTGAAATGGTTGAAAAATAAATAAAAAACGGCGAACATTACCGTACAACTCTCCTAATCTAAATAAGCTTCTAAATACTTAATTGCTTGTAGTTTAAAAGCAGGATTTAAAGTTAAACAACAGTTTAAAGCAACAAAGTGGATGCGGGTAGTGAGGGTCCAGCCTCCAAGTATCTCGTGAACTTCGGGTCTCAACTTGTCGGGTCTGTTACTATCCCTGTAATTGACAAAATGATAAAACTTATTGAAACCTTTGACAAAGGTATTTGTTGAGATAAAACTTAGACTAGACTGACCATTGACTATTGTAGTAATTCTAAAGCAGAATCCGATACTTGTGTTCATGTTCTCAACTCCCAAAACAATGTTCTAACAAATTCCTTTGTCAAAGTCACGCCTCTTGTAACGTCACTTACAATTTAAATATGTTAATAACTTGGAGATTAACAGCAACGTCGTTACAGGAGGCGCTAAATAATAAACTGAAAGCGCTTGTCCAAAAGAGATAATTGTCAATTTAATGCTCAAAGTAATCAAATGACAGGCACTTTCTTTGGCATAAACTAATAAAAGTAGGTGATAAAGAAAATAGGAGCCATAATTTGTCGTGTTTATTACAGTTTGAATTTTAAAAGATTATTGCTGCGATAGACACGACAGGAATATCATAAAACGTTGCCTCATTTAACTTGATACCGTCAATGTAACGCATAAAAGCTAAAACTCATCTAAATGTAGATTAGAACATCGCATGTACAATTAAAATGCATGAATGTGGCTTTCTGTGTCATTGTTAATTAGATTATGATATAGCTTTGGACCACGTGCAATTATAATTAAAAAAATGTAATTATAAAACTGTAAGATAAACACTGAAGTACTTAATTTATCTCCTTACCATTTTCATTTACTGTTCGTGTTTGTATGTCACCTTAGCTTTAAGTAAAATGTAAATAAATTTCAAATTTATATTGACAATCAATTAAAAAAATTGTCCATGGATTTTTGTCCAAGTAAAATCTTGAGTTAAAAAAATAGTTTCAAATATTCTTAATGCAATAAAGTACATCATCAACTTAATGAATATGTATGCAATGTGTAAAACTACATATTGTATGTAACAGGGACATACTTCAACTGCATCATGTTCATGGTAGCGTCGTCAGTGGTATTGACAGTCGTGGTACTCAACTATCATCACCGGACCGCAGACATACATGAGATGCCGCAGTGGGTGAGTGTTTTGATTTTTTAAAGAAAAAGTGCTGCCCTGCTATAGGATTTTCTCCTGTGTCGTGGATGCGTTTACAAACTTACAAGTTCACATTTACAATTAAATTAGGTATACGAAGTTTTGAAGTATATGCAAAATTACGTTAACAAAAATGTAACATGAATTCAGATTGTTCAAGTACCAACTTAGGTTATTTTCATATCCATATTATTATAGTCAATAGCAATTTATATCATTCTCAATAATCAGTCAACTGATTTTGTGACTAGAGACAGAATTTGGCACTAATTAGTGTGGATTTTATAATACGGATAACATTTAAAAAGGCGTTCTATTAAGCATGCTTCAGAATTTTTAAAAATCGAGCGCATATCTATTTGCAAACAAGCCTGAAATGAGTACCTATGCTAAATTTGAGCAACATTTTATTAACACACACATGCTACTAAGAGACAAGTTGAAATTAGCATGTGTAAGTACCAAGTACAAGTACCTTTACGGCAAATGTCTTATAGATAGAGTAGATGGAGTCACAAGATACAACAAGCAGAGTGGTTTGTAAAATAAATATATTTTTGTGACAGATAAAATCAGTGTTCCTGCAATGGTTACCATGGATCCTGCGAATGTCGAGACCAGGGAAGAAAATCACAAGAAAGACAATCATGATGAATACGAGGATGAGGGAGTTGGAGCTTAAAGAGCGGTCGTCGAAGTCATTACTGGCCAACGTACTTGACATAGATGATGACTTCAGGCACGCTCCTCCACCTCCTAACAGTACAGCATCCACTGGGAATTTAGGGCCAGGGTAAGTAAATAAATAATGTGAAACAAGTGAATTTATTTCTGCAAATAGGCTAGATACAAGGTAGCACTTTTATACGTCAATTTTATCAAGCGAACGATGAGGTCGACATTTTCTAACTGACTACTCTGAGAAGAAATGCCGAAACAAACTCAGAGGTCTGTCTCTTTTAAAGTCCAGACAATATGTGTAATAGATTATGTGTGAGAACCGTGCAAGTTATTTCTGTAGTGGCCTTTTGAGGAAAGAACCACAGCAGTTTGAGCGGACCCGTTCTGAAGGCAGTACGCATGTGTCGGTTTACAGTCAGCTCAATTAACAGGTGAGGCTGACTGATTCGACGAACAATACCAACCTAAAAAACATTTGCGTGATGATATTCATGATTAATTTTTTTGTCCAAAGCTTCTCATGTCATACGTCCTAGCATTCAAACACTCTGTAGATAAGGTATAAGACTTGATCAAATTAACAATTAACTTCTTAATGTACAGGATAACAATTCCTATAAGTGTTGCAGGTATTTTCTTATCAAGAAACGTTAATAGGCGCTACAAACCTAAGACAACATAAAAGTTTCTTTCATCACCGATTTCTGGCTTGTAAACAGTTCTCAAATCAATATTGACTTTGTTTTTTATTGAAATCATATTTGATATTTCTATGTTGATATTATTTTTTTCAATTTCACCATGTTGGTCTAGGTGCTCAATATTCCGCACGGATTTCCGTCGGTCCTTCGTCCGTCCGTCCACTATGGAGGATGTGGGCGGCGGGCTGGCCAGCCACCACAGGGAACTTCATCTCATCCTGAGGGAGCTGCAGTTCATCACTGCAAGGATGAAGAAAGCAGACGAAGAAGCTGAGCTGATCAGCGACTGGAAGTTCGCTGCTATGGTTGTTGATAGGTAAAATTCATGTGGATATCTTTACAAATGACTAATTGTTTGACTATCGTCTAGTTAGTAGAAGAAACTATAGTTGTATCCATACAAGACGTAAATATATTTTTTGATCACAAACCTTAGTATCTCCCTTTATATTATAATGAAAGTCTGATACAGGCAATAACACGAAGTACAAAGAAAATCATCCGATTCAATTCGATATTCACTTAAATCCGAAAAGCTCCAGTGAATTGATTAATGAATATGGTGAAACTACATTCATTGATTTATAACTGTATTGTTTTCACAATAAAGGGGATTAACCAGCATCGAGCCTTTGTTCCTACTTAAATGGACGATATTGATATTTCATTTCCATATGAACAATACAATTTTCGTAGGATATCTTTTTAATGCGACATTTTGTCAGTATTATTTTGTGATGTACGACAAACCGATTGGTCGGTAGTTAAATAATATTGGTGGAAATGGGCTATTGTACTGTTTTGTGAATAACATGCGTTGAAGTTGTAATAGAAAAATGAATAACAAGCTTGGTACGATTTGGTTTTAAGAGTTAATACGTCCTTTTTTTAATTAAATACAATTCAAAATCACATTCAGTACCAGAGACAATCTGGCTATAAATAAATAAATGAATAAACCACATAAAGTTTGAAACTAAATAAAGTAGCAATAAACGTACAACAAAATTTAATTAGCAGTGAAAAGGTCGTAACTTGGCTTTTTATGGGCCAGTAACAGCTACCTTAGTGAGTATAACGCTGTACGAAGCGTGTGTAACAATTTATATGACAAGGATGAAAAATGGTGGCTTGTCACTTTGACATTAGACAGTTATCCTCTGTGCCATTCTCGTAGGTCTGTGGATAACGCAACGGGCGGAATGTCGAGCGAGGTTCAACGTACTGTGACGTAAAATCGCCTAATGCAGTCAGACTGAAACTGTAGGATAGGATAGAAAACCCCGCTCCAAAACCCCGTTGTTTAAAATCCTGACATTCTATATACAGTTGGGATTTTTAACTGAAATTCAAATTAGATTCTTCATTTTGAAATGGAAACGAAAATGCATACAATCGGATACACGAATGTTTACGTATTTGAATTTCAATGATGTGGTTTTAAATGGAGAAGGGGTATTAAGGAGTTCGGAGATTTGAAAATAAGATTGTACGTTGGAGATGGTAGATATTCTTCGTCAATCTAGAGTTTAGAACTTTACTAGACGTAACATAGATTGGCCACTACAAAATATATCCGTACTTCAATGTAGGTACATGTGTTGTAGTTAGGTATTGTTAAAGTACCGGACTCGGGTTTTCCCCAGGGCGCTATCTTGTCGCCAACTCTAAAACAATTAGGTAAGTTTCTCGACCTGACCGCTTACTTTTGTCCCCAGGTTTTGCCTGTTCGTGTTCACACTTTTCACAATCATCGCAACAGTGGCTGTCCTGCTATCGGCACCGCATATCATCGTGCAATGAACCAACTACTAGGTGCCTCGGGTGTACCGGCACAAGTATGAGAGAACTAATTATTAGTATGCCGATTTGTAATTATAATTAATAATGTAATTAAAATAAATACGTGTTTGAAGCGCACACGTCTCCTTAAAAGTCTTAAGACATTAAATTACGGTAACTTTACATTATTATAGTTAAGTCAAATGCTAATGGAAATTTCAGCCGGAGCTAGGAATTACATTATGAAGGTCGTTCTGTTGTTCGTGTTGTACTAGTGTATTGTTTGTAGCAAATAAAAGAAAATATAAAGTTTTGTTTCTTCGAATTTACAAAGCTCCTTGAGCTCAGACTCAAATTCCCATTAGTAGTTATTAAAAAAAATGTGATGTTGACTAGGATGTTATACAGATAAATGTTGACGTGTCTAATTTGTTAAAAAACAATATTAATAACTTTATCTAAACGGTTTGTATAAACGAAATATTAATGAGGGTTAATTTGATGGAAAGGAATGCTTTGCTAGCACAGAGTTGCATTAATTTAGAAAAAGACATCACAAAGGTTTGTCTGGACATTGGACTCTTTGAATGAAAAATGAGGTTTGGTCAAAAAAGTTTGTAAAACAGAAAAGTTTGGTTCTGCGTCTGTGCTGGAATTAAAATAATTGTCTTAAATTGAAGGAAAAGAATGTCCTTTGAAAAATTAAATTTCAATCGGTATCCTTTTTACATGTAATGAGGGAACACAGATGATGACAAAACCTTAGGGTATTAAGTAATGTACATAATGGATCAAATATCGGTAGAGTGAAGAATAGCTTAACGATTTAAGATTATTCCATTCGATATTAAAATTCGATTAGCGAAAATCGCTACGTTTACATCGTTACATATCGATTTGAATCGATATGTATTATATAAATTGGGACGTTAGTGGAGATTGTGAAAGTAAATATTGTAATTATTAAATGAATATACTACGAAAATTTAATCCAGGAATTGTTAAACAGTCATGGAATTGATAAGAATTCAACATTAAATACGGAACCAAGGATAGACTAGGTCTAGCAGCACGGGGTTGAATAAAAAATAATTAGATCCGACCGCGGAAGGTAACAAGTATTCAGTAGAGAGTTTTTGTTAATAAACGTAATATCAATTAAACTGAAAACTGTTAATATCTCGTATCGATAAATGCTCATTTAATATGAATTGTGTAAAATTATGAAAGTGTTAGTATATCGATATGAGAATAAGTCCCTAGCAACAGAAATAGCAACTGATATTAGACGTCGGTTTGTGTTAATCTAATGCTTAGAAAATATTACATCGCCGTTAATATCACTAACCACCACGTAATATGATATATATAATGTACATACAGAATAATGCAGTGTGTATGTATTTGTATATAAATTTTAGAAAAAAATCGGAAAAAAGACTAAAATATCGCATTTTTCACTCTAGTATTTATAACAACCAGTCTTATTGGGCAGGAATAGTACACTATTACACGTAAGTACTAGATACTGTCTTTATATTGATATCATCTCGATAAGTCAAGCGTTATCTGATTCATTTCAAACGTAGATCGATGGGAGGCGATCCGAAATATTTTCGCGCCCAATAAGACGGCAGAATGTCACTTCGACGAATGTTCAATTGAAAAACTTTTTTGATTGAAATTGATTGTTATCGATTCCAATTCGTCATTGTCTACTCAATTAGAACCTTTTAGCACATACTGTAGCATCTATATAATAGTCGTATTATTTAAAAAATAAACAATTAAAGTCTTTATCTATGTCCGTTCCTCGATTTCACTCTTATAGATGTCGTGGTAGCCTAGTGAATGTTGTGTCCCTTGATTTAAGCTAAACTTATAATGAAATAACTATTGTTAAGGAAGCTCATTAAAACTAGATATAAAATTTACGCGATCTGAGTGTTTTGCATAATTATTTAATATTCTTTTTGATATAGAACAACATGAAAATGTGTTTACACGAGCAGTTGTAGTATTTTCTTGGATTCATAATTACGAGTCTTGACGGGCTCAGAATGATTGAGTCTCAAGAGAAAAATACAGCGTGTTCTGAAATTGTATTTATCAGAATAATGTATCATTATAACTTAATTATGTTAATGATTCCTGAGATTATGAACGTTGTCGTTTTGCAGAATTTATTTCAAACAGTGTGGTGCTGAATAATATCAGGTGTCGACATTTTCTTTTCGTATTTATAATTGTTATAAGTATAATTTAAAATTTCATAAACCCTATTGTTATCTTTTATTGTGTATATTTCAATTCGAAAGTGATGATAAAAAATAAAATTTGTAAAATTAATTAATATATTTAATTAGATTTGTTAGTGCCAAAAATAGGGTTTATAAATATTGAAGTTAAGTTGGTTTTAGGTATAAACGATGAAGTTGAGATGATTATTGTAAAGAAAATATAAAAAACGAACTAGGGTCTTTGTTAACATGTAATTTAACTGGTTAATGTTTGTATTGGGCCGCGGCTACGGGTTATTCAGCCAATTTTAAACTTATTTTGTTTGAAAAAAATAAATGAGAGGTTGTGAAATCGAATGTTAAGGCCCGTGGTAGCGGTTCAATGATAAAATATAATAAAAAATATTGATAAATAAAAAACGAGTAGAAACGATCTACGATATAATAAAATTTCAATAATAAAACGCCTGCATGGGACCGGGTTAGACTATAAACGAACAAAATGAACTGACGTACGTAAACCACTTCATATGAAACGCAAACACATTTTACAAGCAGTTACTATTGATTTAATCTTTCACTTTTACACCATTTGGTATCTTATAGTGAATTTTCTGAAACTTTATGACAATTTATTCACACTTCAATGTCAATACAAATTATGTGAGGGAACTAGCAACACTGACTATACATTTTTTTTCTATATAAATCAAAATTAATTACAAAGCAAAGATAATTTTCGAAGCCACATTTAAAAAAAACTGGCCGTATTGATTTTATTCTGACATTCGAAATTTGAAAAGTCTGTTCATATTTAAAAAATAGAATCATCTATTTAGTTTGTCTACTATAACAAATTATATATCAAAAATATTCGGAAAGTCGGTGAAGTAAAGTTTCCTCAAATATTTTGTAGATTTTAATCTCTAATCTATTTCCGAATTTCACTTAACTCTGAGGAACAGTTTACACACTATCGTCTATTTCTACACTAATACGTATATGTATACACATCTTTATATAATTTTAATGTTTGTATGGCATATGAACACATACTTATTTATACCTATTCTCTTTAACGAATATTTCAATGTTTTAATTGTATGTAACTTGCACTCAATTAATGTGTATTTTTTACTTACATGCGTTCAAATTAAAAACTTGGCAAAGAATAAACCAATCAGAATGTTTATGCGAATTAATTATGTTCTCCTTTTATACAAAATTGAATATTTAATTATAGCAATATATGCCATACAGACGGCTCTGCATACTGCACAACAGAAACAAAATGCTTTAATCGTGAAACAGGTATTTTGGATTTCCATGTATATTCTACTTCTGACGCTGTAAACTAAGATTTTAACTATTTCAAGTCTCATCTACTCTTGTGTCGTTTATTTAGCGGTAAGGAATTTACAGCCATTTTGGAAAAAGCAAACTTGTTTATCAAACATTTTGTTGCCAAGGACCTAAGAACCTAACGCTATAGTTATCATTTCATCTACTCAAAAATACGTAAAAATTACAGTTTTAATCCAATTTTTAAATTCTCAAAACATTTATCGATGGCTGTTTTCTTCCATCTTCCCGCTGGAGCAATCTATTTTAAAGATAAGTCAATTTTAGGATACGATATCGATGCTCGTTGCTGATGCTCGAAAAATGTAGTGTAGCTTTTCACGTAACTTGTGATGGCGGCCGATAGTGACATCTTGTTTGCTCAAAGACCCGCTGCCAACGATGCCGCGATACAACCGACTAGTCGAGCGCTATTGACACATGTCGAGTCTGTTACTCTATGGACACGAAAATGCGGGAAATACTTTTGAATTTAGAATCTGTAAGTTGCCACTGAGAAAAATATTTTCAACATCTTTTCGCTTACTGATTTCTTTTTCTGTAAGTTTAGCAACAAGAGTAAATAGACAGAAATAAAATGTTACACTAACACAGTTCAAAGAAGTGGTTCTTTCGTTCTTTGGCCAACAAATCTAAGTCTGTGTCTCATTCAATCGCTATGTAGGCTACATCTATTAACATTACACCTGGTGGTTGCTCGCTTACTCACACCATCTTATGTATGCAACAATTTAATATACTTAAATATTTATGTTAATAAACTCACACATACTCACATGCGCTGAGTGTAGCTTTACAAGTACCGAACCAATTTCAATTAGGTAATTTCTTCATACAGTCTACTTTGTAAAATTGTTACAATTAATTAGTTCGTATCTCAGAATTATTTGTTTTAAGTTGGTGGAAAAACTTAAACGAAATATTTTGTTAAAGAGCCTTTGAGACCTTCAATGTTCTCGAAGAGCGGATTTCATTAACGTATTATACATATTCATGGCTACGCCTACGATTGTCTGAGATCAAGGCGAAATTATTTTCATTTATGTTTTACTTTGTATTTGACGAATTTGGTTCTTTTTTTCCTTTAACAAAACAAAATAGCGGATGGAAAGCTACACCCACGCGCGTTCGGAAACACGTAAAAACATCGACCAAACTTGTTTTCAACTATCGAGCTTCTCAAATATAGTTCGATATTTATTTTACTAAATCACACATAACTCCACATTGTGTTCCTGTGGCTTAACCATAGTCGAAATAATTAATTAAAATTATAATAAAAATATATACGACTGCAGTAAGTTGATTAAATACAGCCGAGTGTAATGTAAGTTTATAATGAAAAGCCCCTATGGAGGTTTTTATAATAGATGAAAAATAATAAAAAATAAAATACAAAGGTAAATTTGTAAAAATAAATACAACGGGTAAAATGTTTATTCGTTAAATTGACTATCGTAAGTAGTATTCGATTTGTATAAAACTAAAATAAATTAAAGCAATCTGATTTATAATATTCTTGTCGTTTTATTTTAACACCCTTTGTGACATATTTTTTATATGACAACATTTATTGGTCAGTTGTACCTCTATTAAAACAGATGAAAACACTGGCAGTATTAGGGCTATATTTTACCGGGACACCATGACGGCGCAGACTGTCGCGCCTTCGCCTCCGTGGCGACAGAGTGAGTAACACACCACACAAAACAACAGCGCTATGCTATAGTAATTAGAGTTGGGACGACCACCATGGATGAGCGACCACTAACATTCTGTGCTGGCGTGAACTGGTTGCTCCATCAGATTTCTTTTTTGTGAAACGTTGCCCCACACTAGGATTTTCTCCTGTGTCGTGGGTGCGTTTACAAACATACAGATTCACATACACATGACGCCCAGATCCGAAACAACAATTTGTGGATCACACTAAGTGTTGTTCCGTGCGGGAATCGAACCTGCGGCACGCTGCACGGCAGCCAGTTGCCCAACCACCGCACCAACGCACCAACCGTGCAGTCATTGCGAAGATTGTGACGATTACTGGCGACAGAGTAATTCTCTATACCTCTAGAGATGCATATATTTTGTTGATGGTGGCGATGGGTTGCGCTGCCACGGTGTCCCGTCGATAACCCTATATAGTCGGCAGCAACTACAAGATGGAAAAAAGAATAACGGATTATTGTTGAGTTATTAATTTCATGTAACCTTCGTTTGATTTCTAAAGCATCGAATCAAATAAATCTATATATTTGCCGAATACGTTTTCAATTAAAATTTCAATTTAGTAGCGAATTTGAAATAACTGTGGACCTGACTATTTGCTCAGTGAATCTGCTCAGTTTTATCGATGAGTTGTTTTTGTTTCATTATTAAATTTTGTGATCGTGGGTAGCTTACTCACTTTTTGAATCAAGAATGTGTTATTTTTAGTTTGATATTATGCTGTGGACATAAGGTTGAATGTGTTTTTTTATGGGACAAGCTCGCCACAACCTCCCATAACCGTTGCAACTCCTGTAAGGCAGGATCTACAGTAAATACAACCATGAAAACACCGGAACACTGAAGTCCGATGCGTCTCAGGGACATGGATAACTGTCTTGGTTCCCGCAACGAAGTGGATGAAAAGATATTATAAGAGAAGAAAAAAAGTTTGAATATGTTATGTTAATAATTACATTTTTATCTTGATTCCCTTCGTATGAATTCTAAATTGACCATTAATTTTTGTTCCCAAAATCCAGGTTTCCCGCCGTCCATGAAAGGAGTTGCGAGTCTCTGAATCCAATTTATTAATTTTAAAAATAATTTCGTCTACATGGTATTTACTTACAGTCTACATTATGAGCGACTCTCATAGGCTTATTACCTATTGCGCTACAACCAATAGGAGCCGAATTAAGTTTAAGTTTTTAGAGAAAAGCCAATGTAGGTGTTTAACTCGTCGAGTACCGGTTTTGTAGACACAATTATAAAACAATAGGTTGCGGTCACCGGTGACCGCTTGGTGTTTGACAGTTTAATATGTGCTGTTTTGAAAAATATGTGTCTATATATTATAGGTTAATATTACTTAACAGAGAAGACATCGGCGATCAGCCGCGTCGTGGCGACATCTACAAAACATCAGTACCTTACCGACATACATAAGTACAAATATTTTTTATTAAATCTGTTTTGTATAAATAAACGCAAAATCTCGATTTATGTCCTTCTTTTATACCGAAATATTAAATGGATTTATATTGAATGAATGTTTAAGAAGAAATAATTGAATGAGAATCTGTCAAGAATCGATAAGATTAATATTACTGGGACAGGTGGGAGGACACTTTAATTTTCTTTTGATGCCATTGAGCTCGGAGTTTCGTTTGGGGTGCCACCGCATAAGAAACTTTGAAGAGCAAAATTATGTTCATTCATATCTTCGTTATTGTGAATTGTAAATAATGATTTTATTAGAATAAGTGTGTTCATATTAAAATAGATCAAAAGATACGAATATAATTTGTAGATACAGATCCTTCTACTTAAATACAATAAGAAACATAGAATACATTTAATAGAGCCGTCTAAAATACCCCACTTATTGTGCGCTAAGCCGACCCAATTTACGTTCACTTTACCACTACATACACTCCAACTCAACGTATTTGCACAACTTTT